CTCTCACGGAGCAGCCTTTAATTGATGTGCAGATTGCTGAGGACAGCGCGAGGCAAGGGCGGCTCGCTGGATGGGTGGCCTCTGTTACATTGTTGTTATTTTGGGTTGTTGTCTGCCCTCTTCCCATATTTCTTTCTCTTACTTTCATTCGTCATCTATCTGATTGTGTCTGCTTCTGTGTGTCAGTCTGTCTCTGCTCTCTCTGTCTTGCCTCCTCCCTCTCCCCGTCCCCGTCCTCCTCCCGCCCGCCTCGCCGAGCCCTTGGCGAGGCAGAACATTTCCCCTCCATTTCTCGGCCTCCTCCGGCGCCTCGCAAGTGTTGGCTCTCCCGCCTCTCCCGCCTCTCCTCGGCCTTGACGTCTGGCCGAGTGTGAACGAGATCATCGGGTGGCTTTGCCGCCCGATTGAAGGCGAGAGTTAAGTGAGTGGAGAGGGAAGACTTTTTTTAATCAGAGATGGAGGGAAGATTTTTAGATTTCTATATTTAGTTATATATTCATATATTTCCACAGATTTAATAAGAGTTAAATTTGGCAGTACTAACTGCATGTTCTTTTTTATTATTTGCGTTACTAGAATATAGGAACTTATTTTTCAGGGTCTGATTTGACCTAAACAGGTTTTTCTTTTCTTTTATTTTTGTTAACAAGAATATAACTTGGAATTACGGATGAATCACGGCCATTGTTATTGTTGCGCTCACCCACCTGTTCTCGGGAGTGGTCGCTCGTTCCTCGCTGTGCATCGCCGCAAGAGTGCAAGCGGGATGTCCTGATGGCCGGAGCGTTGGTGTTTTGGTGTTGGCGTTGCCCTCCCCTGCTTATGGCAACCGTTCTCTCTCTCTCTCTCTCTCTCTCTCTCTCTCTCTCTCTCTCTCTCTCTCTCTCTCTCTCTCTCTCTCTCTCTCTCTCTCTCTCTCTCTCTCTCTCTTGAATCCCTTATTTTGCCTTTGTTCTTCCCTGCTTGTAGTGCTACCATGGTATATTCTAACTTTTTTGATAGCATCTTCTTAGGTGTCTTTTTTCGCTTTCCCATCTCTTCCCTAGTTTCGTATCATACCCTTCTTCTGTCGTTATCCTTTCATTCGAATTCCACCCCGTCTCCCTCTGTTATTAATTCCACGTCCTCTGCCACCGTTATCCCTCCATTCTTATCAGTATTTTCCTTCTTCCTCTGTTTGTTATTCTCCCGCCGCTTTCATCGCCAATCTTTCATTTTCGCCCACCTCCCCTCTTCCTCTCCCTCTTCCTCCCCCGCTGACCGGCGACAGTATCTGGCTGAACTTTAGCTTCCGTTTTTTGGACCAACAAGAAAACGCCTGATGTCGACTTTCAAGTATTAATTTGTTTTCCTTTGGGAACTTTGCAGACTTTTTCTAATTTATTCTAAATCGTAATGGGGAAAGTCCGTTAATAATTTGTCCTTAATTTTTGGGACGATATATAGAATGATTATTGTTGTGATTGTTATTGTTATAATAATAATGATGATAATGACAATTATTAGTAGTAGTAGTAGTAAAAGTAGTAGTGATAACAGTAATAATAACAGTAGTAGTGTAAGTAGTAGTAGTAGCAGTAGTGGTAATTGTTGTATTTTGTCCTCCTCCTCCTCAGGAGGCTGATTCGACCTCTCAGAGAACCAGCTTGATTTTCGCGTCGCCCTTTGTAGGGGAAACGGCGCAAGGAAAAGTGCGCGCTGTAATTAGTGTGCCCCGATAGGGTGTAGACAGAGGGGGCATTTTAACGTTCAGATATCGACTAAACAGTCAGATACAATGGGGGCAATCAAATGATGATGTACTTGGCATTTGTATTTTGCGTTTGCAGGACAATAGTATGCACGCACAGACGCGCAACCCCTCCTTTCACGGCATATACATACATACATACGTGCATACATATATGTGTGTGTGTATATATATATGTGTGTATATATATATGTGTGTGTGTGTGTGTGTGTGTGTGTGTGTGTGTATGTATATATATGTATATATATGTATATATATACATAAGTATATATATATATATATATATATATATATATATATATATATATATATGTATATATATATATATGTATATATATATATATATATATGTATATATATATATATATATATATGTATATATATATATATATATATATGTATATATATATATATATGTATATGTATATGTATGTATGTATATATATATATATATATATATATATATATATATATATATATATATATATATATATATATATATATATATATATATATATATACTTATGTATATATATACATATATATACATACATATATATATATATATATATATATATATATATATATATATATATATATATATATATATATATATATATATACTTATGTATATATATACATATATATACATATATATATATATATATATATATATATATATATATATATATATATATATATATATATATATATATACTTATGTATATATATACATATATATACATATAT